AAGGTGACAGCGGGCAATGCTGTCTCACACCGCTAGAGATACTGAAGGGCGACGACAGTTTGCCATAAACCCTCACTCTGTCCGAACTATGCGCGTACAGCGCCCTGATAATGTTTACGGATTTTAAGGGCACACCTTTTTTGAGTAGACGTTCCCAAAGGGCACATCGATTCACCGAATCGAAGGTTTCTTTGATGTTGAGAGGCACGACTACGGTCGGTCGCCAATAAATATGTTGGTGCTCTAGCAACTGACGCAAATGGAAAATGTGGTCGATGCAGTTCTGACCTCGACAAAACCCGGTTTGCTGTTCACGGATCTGGCTTTCACGAGTGCCAGTCAGTCTGTGGAGAAGGAGACGCAAGCAGGTTACTGGAATTAGGAGAGGGCTGGTGACATTTCTATCTGCCCTTGCAGCCTTATTGAATTTCAACGATCTGATCTCACTTTCGACTTTTTCATGTGTAGGTGGGTCCAAGGGGACGATCCAGGGCGGAGCGCACTCAGTGCCCGAAAAGGAAAGCGATAACTCAAGTTGGTTAAACTGCCTTGTAAAGTCTTCGGCCCAACGCTCCAATCGTTTTGACAAGCTGTGGATTAGCTGTCCACTCGTGATGTATGGTCTCGCTAACACCAGGTCTCCTGCTGCTTGTTTCCCGTATCACACGGAATTACTTGCGATGATTACCAACGGCAGCGACTGCTTCAATTTCCTCTGCTCGTTCAGACCTCCAGACTTCGCAGTCTATCATCTAGCTAACGCGTAGTTTTTCCCTGGGTATTTTGGGAGTCACATGGTATTCGCTTCGCAGCGGAATACGTCGGCGAGCATCCATAACTTCTAGTGATTTCGTAGAGACCCAATGTGCAGGCTGGCATTTTAATTTGCCACACGATAACATGCCTGCTGATGGTAACATTCGGCTAATATGCAACCTGTGATCTTCGACGTTGTTCTGGGCGCTCTTACTCAGCCCGGATTCCAGCGTACTTTGATACGCATTCATAGCACCAGGCTTCGCCAGTTGGGTGGTGTCTAGGCGCTCGCAGCGACGTTGCGGACGTCCGCCGAAAGGCAACCGCAGGTCGGCACACACAAGAGCGTGATCGAAGTCCACGCTCGTGCTCCGAATCGAGCGACAGTTTTGGACACAGCCTTTTTAGTGGTAACTGATTGCGATATGATCGATTTGCGTCCATGGCTGGTGCGAGGCTGGTGGGCGCCAAGTCGCTGTTCTGCGGGTGCTGTGTCGAAAATTAGTGCTCGCGAGAAAGAGACGAGCATCTTCACACAGGTGTAGCAATCGCTCACCGTTATCATTACGGGAGCCTACACCATGCTGGCCGCGCAGATGAAGCTCGTCAGAGGACAATTTTCCGACTCGGGCGTTTAGATCGCCAGCCAACACCACAGTATCCGTGCTTCTTCTGTAACGAAGGAGATCGTGAAGTTGTTGATAGAAATCATCTTTCACCGAATCAGTGCTACAGTTTGTGGAGGCCTAAGCCGCAATGACAAACAGGCACTGTTTGTCTACGCGCGACTTCGAAGCCTGGAACGGACCAGCTAATCTAACGGCGCACACCTGGCTGTTGACTTGGATGGAGTCGATCAAGGCAGCTTCAGCTCGGGGACTCAAAACAATGCCGACGCCATTTTAACCGGCATTTGAAGCTGCGTCATCTCCAGACAGGCGCAATTCGAATCTTCCAGAAGTGTCGCATGTGGGGGATCTCAGGGTAAGCACGGAGCTCGAATCTTGCAGGCGGGTTTCCGATAAACCGCAACTATCGATCGATAGGGTCTCTTGTGTTCGGGCAAGTGCTGCTTGTTGATCAATCTGTAGCAAAGTGCGCGTGTCGAGGCATGCCGGTCTTAGCGATGATAGAGGGGCGAAGGCTTGAGCAGTATCATCTGGACCCCCATCCACCATGCTGTATGCTGCCGATAGGGCGCCGTTGATTATCCTCTGCGACTGCCAGAGCCTCAATATTTAGTCTGTTTACACATTTTGCCGGGTGCTCAATTGCAGTTTTCACCTGAGGCGTTTGTCTTCTAATCTGGAAGTTGGCTGGTCAGCTTGCGTCGTGGCAGTAGGTTACCCGTACAATTAACGGGAAATACAACAGGATACTGTCAGGTTGCCCAGTGTTAGACAGTCAAACCCTTTTATTCATATACCTGTCCGCATGGCAGCAGGTTTGGCAGTGGGCTACGAAGAGTCCATTTTACGGAATAAGGAGCTAATCTCAGTCCAACCCCCAACCTGGAGGACCACGAGACTAAATTTTTCTGGCCTCTGGCGGCTGACGAACCTAATGTGGGAAACTCTGAAGATTCAAGAAGCACCACCCAGCACAGCTCGATGGATCGCTGAGACATACATGTTAGGAGAATGGTCTCGTAAGATGGAAAAAGCTAGTGCTATTGGTAACAAACAATTTCTATCAAAACTCATCCGGAGCACCTGTTCAAACAAGCCATTAGCGGTTGTGAGACATCCGCGAAAGTGGACTACTTCCTTACTGAGCCGCGTCAGTAGGAACGTTTTGAAGATTAGTTCAGCGACCATACTGCGACACTGCCGCCTGGTGAATCACATGAGCACGCCCAGTATGTTGGTCAGGTCTCTCACTTTGGAAAAGGTTATACCTGATCCCGCTTGGTTGAAGCAAAGCAAGGTTCTTGGAACTGACGATCTCTTTGGAGAAACGTGAATGGGATTCATTAGTGACTGCTAGTTCCGCTTTTCCAGCACCATTTCGGACACTGCAGTATACCTCCAGACTGGCAGCTGTCATCTGTCGTCAAATTATTTAGTGCGAATTTCCTCGAGGCATTGACCTTATTTCCAATCCCTTCAAACTTATCTCGTGTACTCTTCTTTGAAGATCCAGTGATCTCCGTAGCACCGAACCATTGAAAGTCAGGTTGAGACTCGCTCTGGTCGCGATTACTTTGACCGCAAACTTCCTCTTTGTCAATTATTGGAGCAATGCTACTTACAGGCGACCGATTCCGGGGACTCATTTAACTGAAATTTGTCAGTCAATGACCTGACATGAATCCATAAGTATACTAACCGGAAGATTTGATCGGGCAGGTTCGTGCCGTTTTTTGGTTGCTTACTTCATGATTGTCTACGTCAGTGGTTGCAAAGTTTTCCGGATATGGCACAGTTACGCAATCAATGGCACTGCCTCATTCGTTTTCTTGCATCTAGCTGTTAATATTTCGTCCCGATTAGCTTCACACACTTTTTCTTAGTTACTCCTTTTCTTTACATCCCGTTTGCATCCCACCTCATTTTCCTACCATTGTTATTTATATTTACCATGACCGTCCGAGTCGTGGCATGTAGAGCCACCCCGCACTTCGGTGTCCGGATCATAGATGTTCAACTGAGCTGAACCAAACGATCAATCTTCGGCTTCTACGTCTTTGTTTATATTTTTGTGAGCGGGTTTTTTGCTGATTCCGTTGACTTTATGCTGGGTTAGTTTTGGATTTCATTTTACGTGCTTTAACTTGGGTTACTTTTGCACTCAAATGGACTCAGACGAAATTTATCTGCCACATTTTTAAAACTGTTCTCACACACCTATTTGGCCTAACTACTTTATCTAGACCGATAATCTGGAAGTTGCTTGCACACATAGGAGAAGGTTTCCTTTGATTCCCTAGCCTACTGAGGTCCCACGCTCGCCGAATCCTTTTTTGTTATCAGTGCTATGCCTCGTTTCAATTTAGTAAAACAACTGTGATCCGGGCCTCGACGTGTAGTGGGTCCAGTTGCCACGATGCAAGTCGTCGGAATTACAATAAATAATGACGCCAAGAAAATGAGAAGTATAACACAAAGAAATTGGTATCAGGACAGAAAAGCGCAAAATTAAACAGGATGGAATAGTGATTAACAACTAGGTGCGAAAACTCGATTGTCGAAACGCCACTGGTAAGGTCTCTGGAGCCTCCGTCCATGAATACGGCACGCACCTGCCTGAGCAAATCTCTCCGTCAATTTCTCCATGTCTTTATGTCACCTCATCGATCGGCCACTTCGCGGGTTCGCCCAACTTGGTGCAGCCACGGCAGATAATTCACGTCGATGAGGCCGGTCAACAGGTATACGGAAGGCATGATCTAGCCAACGTAAGCGGTTAATATTCAGCAAACACTCGAGTGACGAACCAGAAGGCTTCTTGCCAAAACCCAACTTCTGTACCTTAGTATTGCTCACCCGGTGTTCCCACCAGACGTGAGCAATACTCCGCAAGCACCGGTGGACAAACACGGTCAAGCGTTTTAGTGTCTTCACTGCGAACTGGCCACGTATCAGATCTATACGGTAACACTGGCCTTATGGCGTTATACACCGCGTTATTAATCCCACTTTTCTTCGACAGACTGGCGTCGTCTTAGATGATTGTGCCTCTGGAAATCCACACTGGCCTTGATGATACGCAAAATAACTAGTGGAGCAGCTACAGGATGTACCTTTCTTAGTTCAGCTAATTTAGGGAATGTATACGTGCCGACTTTATAGCGAGCATCTCCATCAGCACTCCACAGACTTGGCGTTTCTCGCTGTTCGCCAATCACTGTGTATTATAGTCAAATGAAGCACTGCGTGTTTAGAAAGATTCTCCTTAATACTAGCTAGGATTGCGGCTTTCCCACCGGTCTCGCTCGAGTGCCAGTTCAAAGTCTTGATTGGTTAAAACGACAGTTACGTTCGATCTGGTAAATCGAAAGCTGGCCCCGTGGTATCGCACTATGGGCTTGCCGAGTTGCTGCTCATTAATGGAACATGTTTGAGTGTCAGCAGGTCAACCGATACTCAATTGTCATAGTTTTTTAACCATCCGGTGCGTCAATTTTTTGCCAATACTGTGGTCATGCGCCGTTCTACACATTATTAGTTAGATGTTTTCGTGATATCAAGTTTTTCTGTTTGGTTGACTTTTCCTACCATGGCCTACTTTCACACCTCTACCAGCAATCCTTTATGGACTTTTGGCGACAACGGTGACCAATCTGGCCGCTGCATTTGGTGTTGTCTTCGTCCCGCTGCACAAATACCGGTTTTACCCGATTTTCATCTCATTCATGGTTGCCATTGCTGTCGGATCACTCTTCTCTACCGCGGTCCTAGTCCTTCTCCCAGAGGTGAGTGCGCATTTCCTCTGTGCGATTTCATTCATTCCGGGATGAAATACTCTATCCGCCACGTATTCGATAACATTTACACCACCACTTTGCTAAAATGTGTTCTGGACTTACAATAATCGTACTGTACTCCTATCCAGTTAATCAAACACTGGGAAGAGCTTCTATTTGTTACTTGCCTTGAGATGGCTAATATCTCTTGGATCCCATTGGACCTATTTGGGTGTGGATGAATTTTACCGGCAATAGTGTGGCATACCACTCCGATTTTCCTTCCATAACTCATACTATTGCCTCAATCCAGCCATACCTATTCCTTCTATTTCTTTGTTTGCGAGTTTTTCCTCTCATCATCAGACATGCGGGTTTTAATACGAAATAAGAAAACTTGCCTTCCACACACTTTATCCCGGCTTTCTGTAGTTTCGTGGGCAGATGAACTGTTAGCAGTTGCCTACTTGTATTTTTTCTGGGCTGTCACATTGGAGCAACTACCCAAAGACATCTGTCTTGCAAAAGATGGAATCTCAATCCGGAGCCCACGATGCTCTTGGTTTTAAGTGTCATGTCATCCTCTGTGGTAGTGAATGTCAGTTCATTCAGTATCTCAAAGTCTTTATCACTTCGTGTACGGTCCCATAGTCCCGATTTTCAAAGGAGATTTCCGTTCGTAATGCAGCAATCATAGGGGGATCAGTCTAACCTCAAATGCCTATAAATTGCTTGCGTCTCTCCTTCTCCAAACTGACTGGCACTCGTGAAAGCCAGATCCGTGAACAGCAAACCGGGTTTTGTCGAGGTCAGAACTGCATCGACCACATTTTCAATTTGCGTCAGTTGTTGGAGCACCACCATATTTATTGGCGACCGACCGTAGTCGTGCTTCTCAACATCAAAGATGCCTTCGATTCGGTGAATCGATGTGCCCTTTGGGAACGTCTACTCAAAAAAGGTGTGCCCTTAAAATCCGTAAACATTATCAGAGCGCTGTGCGCGCATAGTTCGGGCAGAGTGAGGGTTTATGGCAAACTGTCGTCGCTCTTCAGTATCTCCAGCAGTGTGAGACAAGGTTGCCTGCTGTCACCTTTCCTCCAACCTCGTTGCTGCCGTAGTGGTGGAAACAGCGTTTGCTGGACACGACTTACAAGGTGTTGAACTGCTTTCTGGTGAGCGACTGCTTGACTTGGAGTATGCGGACAATGTTGCCCTAGTGTGCAACAGCTCACAAACGTGCCAAACGGAACTGGACAGATTACTACAGACTGTCAATTGTTTTGTGCTACGCTATTTTCCATCGAAATGCAAATTCTTTCTTCGTGATTGGCAGGGACCCACCCTTGCGCTGACTCTTGGTGGTGATCAGCTAGAAGTCGTCCAGGAATTAAAGTACCTGTGCAGCTATACTAGTGTCCGTGGGATTGAAGATGAGGTAACGAACCGAGGCTCCTCGACGCTACTCTACGCTATTGCACGCCACTCCACTACGCACTGATGTGTCACCTTGGCTGGTGACGAAACGGTTGCAACAAAATTGCCAAGCTCAGCGAACAGTTCAACAGCCATCTGAACAACCTGAGCTATCATCCTTCAATTCTATAGCTAACGAACCGTATAGCAAAGCTCGACGTGTTTCCAATACACCATCTGTGGCGCCGACGTGACATCACACTCGTCCTGAAGGGCTGAGTTTACAATACAGCCGTCCGTTCTATCCTGTTATACGGTTGCCAATCCTGGCCCAACAAGTCTACAGACATAGGTAGACTAGTCACGTTCAACCATCGCTGCCTTCGCAGTTTAATTCATGTCTGGTGGGAGCACCGCGTGATCAGTGAGAATGTTTAGCGTCGTTTATTTGGTGCAGGAAGAGGGAGTGAATCGCTCAGCACCAGGCTCCGATAGCTAGGCTACGTGTTGCGCATGTCAGCACACCGACTCCCGCGGCGTGCGTTGTTTACGCGCCGGGAGTGCGGGAGACTTGGTGGAATGTAGTGGAATCCCTTACATCGAAGTTGACGTCGGTTGCTACATGCCGACTGCCGGGCTGAGGTCCTAAGATCGATGAACACGTTTGGTTGGGCACACTTGATGACACGGCTAGAAGCCGGCTCCAGTGGCGTTTTGTGTTCTAAGTTTCTTTGTCTTCACCTCACTTTGCATTCACGTGCAATCACGATCTCAATTCACATATATAATTTATATTTAACACCATCTGGCGCTACACCATCTTACAATACTTTGAATCACTCGTCAAGTAATTTCTTGATTCTCCGGTTACCGCAGAGTGTAATCAACCGTGCCCTAATCTCTGCATCGAGCAGGGTGGATAGGGTTTTGCATACTGAGGCTCAAGCCTACCCATCTTCTTATACCCCTTATTAGGCGTTTTTACTCTTATGTCCCTTTCCAGCTTCAGTTTTATCCCCCTGTTTTCAACCCCCCCAATTCTTGGTCTTCCCCCACCTTGCTTTGATAGGCTTTTACCTTTTAGTTTCAACTCACATGTGAATGCGGAGGGTCATTACTGTCCTGTCGACAAGCCCAAGCAAGCGCCCAATTCCAGTTCATCGGCTTCCATTTGGAGCCCTTGATCATCCTTCAGATTGGCATGCCTCAATGTACGCACATTGCTACAGATCGGTCAACAGGCAACACCTGCCCGAACTTTAGAGACCTCGATCGATATCTGCTACTTATCGGAGACCCGACTGCAAGACTCGAGCTCAGTGCTCACTTTGTTATCCCCTTCAGATGACACCAGTAGCACTTTCTCATTGCGCCTATCCGGTGACGATGCAGCTTTGAGTACCGGCCAAGCTGATGTTGGTATTGCACTGGGTCCCCGAGCTGAAGCTGCTCTGGTTGTTTGGATTCCAGTCGATAGCCGGTTGTGTGCGGTCCGATTGGCTGGCTCGTTCAAAGCTCCGACGCCCCACGGGACTAACAGTTGTCTATTCGTCATCGCTGCCTATGCACCCACAAACTCCAGCGATGATTCGGTGAAAGACGACTTCTATCGCCAAATGACCCAGCTCCTTCGCCACAGAAAGAGCTCGGACACTGTTGTGCTAGCTGGGCATCTGGACGCACAAGTTGGAAAGTTGTCTACTGATGAACTGCATCTGGGTGGCCGACATGGTTTAGGCTCCCGTAATGATAACGGTGAGTGATTGCTACAGCTGTGTGAAGATGCTCGTCTCTTTCTTGCGAGCACAAACTTTCGACATAGCACCCGCAGAAGCGTGCTTTGGCGCCCACCAGCTGTGGACGCAAATCGATCACATTGCGATAAGCTACCGATTGGGGGGTTGCGTCCAAAACGTTCGCTCTATTTGGAGCACATGTGTGAACACCGACCATGCAGTTGTATGTGCTGGCCTGCAGGCGCGTTTTGGCGGACGCTCACGACGGCGTTGTGAGCGCATTGACACCAACCAACTGGCGAAGCCAGCTGTTCTGAATTCATATCAAAGTACGCTGTCGTGCGAGTTGAGTAAGCGCTCACTGGATGCAAGTGAAGCTCACTGGTCTCATATTCACCAGACGTTAATAGTAGCAAGCAATTGCTGTTGTGGTAAATCTAATCGTCAAAATGGACATTGGGTCTCTTCGCAGTATCTGGAACTTATCGGCGACATCTTACGGCTGGAAGCGCACACAATGGAACTCGCAAAGAGCTCCGGGTCAAACTCCGTGCTATCCTGAAGAAGGACCGCGAATCCTGGTGGTCTCATCGTGCATCAGAGATGGAAATAGCCGCTGCCCTTGATAACCATCGTAAGTTATTCCGGCTGATGCGGGAAACGGGCAGCAGGAGACCTGGTGTTAATGAAACAATTTGTGACGAGAGTGGGCAGCTTATCCACAACTTGTCAAAACGCTTGGAGTGTTGGGCTGAGCACTTTGGTAGGCAATTTAATCGTTTGGAATTGTTACATTACTCGCCGGCCACTGACCGCCCCGCTCCGTGGGCTGTCCCTTTATATTCACCGTTTCGCTTAGAAGTCGAACGTGAGATCGGACTGTTAAAGTTAAATAAAGTCGCGCGACCAGATGATCTTCCACCAGTCCTCTTTGAATTCCGAGGACCTGCTTTTGTGAATGATTTATACGAGTTTCTAGTGAAACTGTGGGAGCAGGAATCTGTTCCAACCGACTGGAGCCGCTCCGTCGTAGTCGCAATTTTCAAGGGAAGCTCACGATCGGAATGCGGCAGCCGTACAGGAATCAGTCTGATCTCCAACGCCTCCAAACTGCTTGCCTCTGTCATCGATCACAGAATGCCTGGAACCCTTGAAAGCCAGATTCGTGAAGAGCAAGCCAGATTTCGTCGAGGTCGTGGCTGCATGGACCGCATCTTTACTCTGCGTCAGTTGTTGGAGCACCGTCACATATATTGGCGGCCCACTGTTGTCGTGTTCCTCGACATCAAAGGTGCATTCGATTCGGTGGATAGACATGCACTTTGTGACTGTCTACTCAGGAAAGGTGTACTTGAGAAATATGTAAATATTCTCCGAGTATTGTACACGCGTAGCTCAGGCAGAGTGAGGGCTTACGGCCAGCTGTCATCGCCCTTTAATATCTCCAGCTTTGTGAGACAAGTATGCCTGTTGTCACCTTTCTTCTTGAACTTCGCTATTGACGAAGTACTGGAAATCGTGTTCACAGGACACGACTTCGAGGGTGTGAATCTGCTCCCAGATGAACAGCTTTTTGACTTTGAGTATGCTGATGACTGCCCTAATCTGTGATAGCCCGCAAATATGCCAAGCTGCACTGGACAGATTAGCACTGACTGTCCGTCACTTCGGGCTTTGCTTCGCACCCTCGAAGTGCAAAGCATTCCTCCAAGATTGGCCTGGACCGCCTCCTGTGCTGACCCTTGATGAGGATCAGCTAGAAGTCGTTCAAAAATTCAACTACCTGGGAAGTTGTATCAGCGCCCGTGGGATTGCAGATGAGATCACCAACCGTATAGCAAAAGCTGGAGGCGCCTT